GAAATACTATAGCACATTAACTTTACAAGTACACATAGAAGTTACCTATTCAGTCCTCTAGAAAAACAAAAATGATTAAATAAACTTCAGAAACTATTGTTCCAGCCATGATTTATTCATTGATAACAAGTTGATATTGTAATCATCATGACTGGCCTATGTCGTATGTCGTTCCTCATAATCCTTGTGTAACCTTCAAGCACGACTGGTAGAACATTTTCTGTGATATGTTTGACTGCACTGACATGTCTGCAATAGTGAACATTTGTATCCAGTGCCCTCGATAGGCTGCTACGGGGCATCCGAGTCAAAAAGCCAGTGAAGCAGAGTGCTCCCTTGGATCTTGCGTGACTCTGGCAGCCAATAAGGCCTCTGCAAATCTGGGTCCGTGTGGCTGCGTTTGACTAATGCTGTTGTTAAGAGGAACTTTTGAGCCGAGGAGACTGTCAAATAGCATTAATCTCAGGCTGCAGTGGAGTTGGGATAGACTCACAGGGGAGGTAAACATTGCTTAGTGTCTGTTGTTGTTGCTTTTTTTTCAATGATGGTGGCGTGCTGCATAAAAATAGAATTAGTTGAGTCACAACAACGTTACACAGGGAAAATGTATAAATAGCATTATCTCTTTTAACAGTGATGCTTATTCTCAACAGTGATTAATTTGAATTATATTACTAACGAATTTTATGGGCCGTTTCCTACTGTTAATTGAATTCTCCTATTTTTCTTCGGGGTAGTAGGTTCAATTACTTCTTGGGTGATGGGTGTATTTTCACCTTCTTATTTAATCTTTTTTCAAGATGCAACCAATCCATCCACAGCAAATCCATGTTCAGCAATCTGTCCGTTGATTAGGGAAAGATTTTACAGTGGGATTCTCTTCTGACATGACCCTCTTCTGATGTCCAGACTGGGGACTAACTCATTTAATAGCGTCAAATGTGAAATTAAAGCATTTTAAGCTGTTACAAAAGAAGAAAAAATACAGAAACCTTTTATAACTTCATCAAAGGCTTGTATTTTAGCATTCTGACTAATTTTGCATGATTCTTCTGGCATAATGTGTGTTAGCGGAGGGAATCTGTGGGTTTTATTAGAATCAACGATGCATCTAAAAAACTATTATTTTTCCCACCCCTTATCAGTGTACAATGTAAATACTTAAGAAGATTTTCTTTAGTACTTTCACCTCCCAAGTGCCAATAATAGGTAATAAGGGTGGGAGGAGACAAGATATTGATAAATGATAAAAAGTATATGATAAAATACATGATGAAGGCATTGGTTGCACAGAAAAATCTTATCAAGTTTGCTGCACTATTCAGCAGTGTAATATAATGTCCAGTTTCCATAGGGATGAGAATTCTTGTCCCATCCCTAACATTTCTGGTATTTTTGGGACACATGCCATCAGACCTGGCTAAGTTTCCTCCTCATCCACCAGTCAGTCCCTGTCCTCCCGGGCTGTTTATCTCTCTCTCTTTCTCCCTCCCGCTCAGAATTACACATAGACCCAAGTGTTTTTCCTCCAACCTCCTCTGCAGCACTTTTCAAATCCACGGTCCGCTGCCTGCTCCGTGTATCAGGATGGCATAACAATTAAGTCTTTACGGCCGATCCTAAAGCTGCAATGATGAAGCGTTTTGTGACTATAGTGTTGCGTAGCCTTGTTAGCCTGTCCAAGGAGAATCGCATCTGGGCAAAGGAGCATCCGCGGGCACCTAAGGAGATCCGGAGGAAACGCAGGGTCGCCAAGAGAGCCGCCAACATGGGCAGACACAACTTAGTGAGAGCGGTTGGTCAATTTGATCTCTAACTGCATTGCGTTTGTAAATGGTTTATTGAATGAGGTGTGATAATCTCTTGATCTGTTATTGATAAGATTAGAATCACGTCTTTCACAAGTACTAGTATGTTTTGTGTAACTAGGTGTTTAGCGTGCCGTTATAGATAACATTTTGAGGGCTTTTCACTAGTTAAAGATATACTATTTGGTTTTCAGTTCTTAATTGCTGTGGCAGCAGTCCCAATTTTTCATCATATCCTACATATATTTGTATTTGTGCCTAATGTATTTGTTCATCCCCAAATGTTATCATTGATATAATTATATATTATCTATATTTTAGCATCATAAACATCTTCAATTGTAGAACCCAATGTATATTCATGGTTTTCACCTTGTTATATGCAATATTTGAAGACCTTTTCCCATTCAAAAGATATAATATTTAGTTTTTTTACTTCTTAATCACTACGGCAGTGGTCCTAATTTTTCATCATTCTGAATCCCATGCATAGATGAAGGCAGACCCCTGTCAGCTGAGGATTTTCAATGTAATTACAGATAACACACACATAAAATCACCTAAATTATGTCATTTATTGCTGTATTTGCAGATATGTAGTTAAATCCATGCTCATTGTGTCACAGCTGAAATATTGGGCACGTTATAGGATTTTTGTCCTAAGTGACTGGAGTGAGACCTTTAGCGGTGGTCCCTGAGCTCCAGCCAGTTTCCAATTGGGCTGAAATCTAAACAATTACACTGCGACTGAGAAGCACAGAGAATCTCAAGGAAATGTCCATGAAACACTGCCATCATTAAAATGAGTCATTCTGTCCCTGGATAGTAATGTGGTTTCACCCTAAAGCAAACCCCTGGTAGTATTTTTAACGCAGCTGAGCACACTTATTTTCTACATTCAAAAAGAGAGAGAGAGGGATATTTTAATCTACTCTTGATGATTATTTTTTCTTTTCTTTTCATTCTAAAATAATTTGATACACTTAGTACTGGCTGATATGATGAAAAACATTATCATTTATTTTGCTTGTGTTGACTGATCACAATTCTTGATTCATTTTTAATGGAAAATGAATAAAAATTGCTTTTGTGAACATAAAGTATTTTAATCAATGCTATTTAAATACATTGACAGATTAAAAAGCCTCATGCTGATGATTGACGGTTTGAAATGACTGAATATTGATTTGATTAAAATTATATTCATTTTACAGCCCCAGATACACCCATTATCTAGTAACACAAGCCTGTGTGCCTGTGTAGCTCTTTTCTTATTCAGTAAAATTCAAACAACTTTATTAGTCCCCAAGGAGCAATTAAAGGGCCCAAAGCAGACCTGCCGATATTCACAAACAACACAAAGTGACAGAGATAAGGACAAAAATATGTGCAGAATAAAGTGTTGCATAGTTTTAAACATGTTATTGCTATTCTTCTAAACATATTCAACAGTAATTGTGAGTCATAATTTCATGTTCAATCTTGAGTACCACATTTCCTTGGTATTTTTGACATCTTTTCCCTTCCCTTCTGCATCTGGCTACTAGCACATCATTTTTGTTTGTCTTGCTTTTGAGCTAACATAATACAGTATGTGTGTGTTTGCTGTTATGGCCACTTATGGTATCGTTACTGTACAAAGTCATGCAGCCAATCCCTTATACTTGGATTCAAAGGTCACATTGCTGCAACTGTGCCGTGTCACCTTCGGTAGTTTGACAATGTTTAGATCTACTTTGTAATTCCAGTGCACGTACTACATCTTAGCACTTTGAAAGACATCCAAGAATTTAACAATTTTCCTAAACATCAGGTAGGTGTAAAAGGGGATTTCAGTCATGCATTGCTGTACATGTAAGGGCATGCAGAGCTCTGTGGTAACTCAGTCTATCGCATTCTACTATGGGACCACTAATCACAGTTAACAACAGAGTGACAGGCAGAAGCATGAGTCTAGCACAAAGTAAAGAGTCGGCCAGTGGACTACAGAATGGGCTGTCAGCACTAAAGCTTTGTCCCACACGGGAGAGAGTTAAACCAGGCCCCAAAACACCAGTTACATGTACCATGTATAAGGCTGAGCTGTTTTGAGAATTGAGATTAGATCATGTATTTTCAAAGAAGTTTCATTGTGTCTCTACAAGTTTTTAAGCTTTTAACATTTGATATGCAAGTGTGTACTACTAAACTAACACAAGAATCACATGCATTGCAGATAGGGGTGGGTGATATTGACAAAAATTCATCTTATTAGTATCCTGTTAACAATATTCAGCTATGTTAAAGTTTTCAATTTTGCATAACTTCAAAACAACATTCATAATATGCCCACTTCTAATTGTAGAACAGGTCTAAACTCATGGAGACGGGATATTTGTTATATTGCAGAGAACATTGTATTATCTAAATAATTTTGGTTTCTGTTCGTACCTCCCAGGCATAGCAATCAGGTCCAGGGAGACAAGCAGCACCAGAAAAGATATATAGTCCACCTTTAATCTGTTGTTTTTGTTTGACTGTGGTCCCTGGAGCCTAAATATGTGAAAATTTGATGTCCAAAATATGTTTATGTTTAGCATTTCTTAAATTACTTTTCTTTTTTCCAGATGATTTTGACTGTTTACCTCAGTGATGGGGAACAGGCTGTAACAGAGGTGCCAATCACCCCAGAAACGACGTGCCGCGATGTGGTTGAGTTTTGCAAAGAGCCGGGCGAGAGCGGCTGTCACCTGGCCGAAGTCTGGAGGGGCAATGGTAAGAAGTGCTCCAACAAATTATTACCTTGTACAGGATTGAAAAATGTCTGATGCTGATTTGATTTGGGAGCCTGGTTTACTCAGAGATTATTTGGGATTTGTGCTGGCACAGTCTACCGCACAGACACAACAGATTTCTCTCAGTCAACACACACTCGTTTTCATCCTTGTACTAGACACACCCACGTTATCAGCTTTTTTTCACTAACAGCCACACCCCTGCAAGAATAACATCGTAGCTGGAGGCTTTATGGACCATGTTATGTAATAGATTTTGCTGGATCTTGTTTAATACTGCTGTCTGGAACCAAAACCAGTTCAGCGTTTTCACTTTCTATCCAACCAAGCTAAATAATATTCTACTGCTCAGTAAAACAGCAAATTTGGATGTAGATATATTTTGTTATGCTTAATATTTTCCCTATTTCTAAATATAAAATACTATGGTTATTTCTGCAGAGCGAGCGATCCCCTTTGAGCACATGATGTATGAGCATCTACAGAAATGGGGACCACGGAAACAAGAAGTGAAGTTCTTCCTCCGGCACGAAGACTCACCAACGGAGGGTAGTGATCAAGGTACACTGCAAACTGACTCTTATTTTTTGGGAAATGGGGTTCATCATTCAAAGTTTTATTTAAGACTAATGTTTAGTAATATTTGTTTGCCAATGTTTTTTTGTTTTTTTTGCCTAAGAGTAACGTAATAATAAGTCACACTTTTTTTGTCTTCTTTTTTTATTTTTTAATGTGAGTGTATTTCAATTTCATATGCATAGTTCCGTAAAGTTATGTAATCTCTGAATGCATGTTGCAAGTAAAATGATTTCCTCTTTTAAACAGGGAGTCAGCAGTCTCAGGACCAAACTACACGCAGAGGAGGAAACACTGGAGAGAAGCACAATGAGAATGGGGTAAAACTTATCTTTTGTTTTATCTCTGGCTTTTTATCCACAGATCTTGTAGATTGTTTTTATAGGTGTCCCATTATTGAGCTGCTGCAGAGTCACAGAGCAGAGAGCATTTTGTAAGAGCAGCCTCTGGCTCAGTGTTTCTGCTGGCATCTGTCTGTCCCAGATTTTACAATGGGCAAGTGTTACGGTCAAGGGACCTTTAATTTTACCTCAAGGCTCTGAGTGAGCATCCAAAGGAAAAACAAAGAAAAACACAGCAACGCTTTACTATAGCAAAATTCTTATCTACAACAGATATTATATAAAGCCTCTGTTCTGAATGCATAGATCTGATGTGTGAGGGCTGCCTGTAGTAGTAATCTAACAGTCATCTTAATTAGACACAATATTGATCTTATGTCACTCTTTTATCATGTCTTAGTCATTATTCGTCAACTTGATTTGAATTTTGTATTAAAATGTGAATTATAGTGCAGTCTGATGATATAACCAGCCCTAAGAGGATCATTGCATTGGTGTTTTGTATGGGCCACTGCCCAAACCTCAGGGGCTTTTGTCCATTGAGCAGAGCTGATTGTCCTCTTAAGAGACCACTGCATCTTAAAGAGCACCGGTGCCCCAGGGCAATGACAAGAAGCACACATCTCAAAAATGTTTTTGTAGAGTTGGGAAATCACAGGTTTCATTGCATTTGTAATTCAAATGCTTTAGAGATGTTAATATAGTGATTATGTAACCACTGGGTTTACCTCTGAGGGTGTGCGTGTCCCTGAGCTGAACTGTCACTGATGCTCCAGTGCACAGCTCTGCTTTAGTGACTGTGGCCAATGGTTTCCGTCACATGCCACATCTCAGCCTCATCTGACTCACCACTTCCTCAGAAGGGTCAGGGTGATATTTTTGTGGTTTTATTTTAACTTTGTGTCCATGTGAATAACACCTAAAGTATGATATAGTAGCTTTGTCCTGTTTGCAAATGCATAATTTCAGCCTAACATAACTTGATAATGATCAGTACATATGGCCTAAAGCTTTCTATACTCCTGCCCTTGTTTCATCTCAGCTCTAGTAATTTCCCAGTCCCTTTGTGTCTTTGCAATGGTCAGTATATGTTATGTGTTTGTAGGTGGGCGGCCAGCGCGTGGAGCTCACTCTGTCCGAGCTGCAGGAGATGGCCACACGGCAGCAGCAGCAGATAGAGGCTCAGCAGCAGATGCTCGTGGCAAAGGTAAAAATACTGTTTATAATCAAATCACCACATGGGGCAGCGTTCTGATTGCAATAATTATGTGTGTTCTGAATGTGATAAGTGCAAATTCCTGCTGACAAATGACTTACCAAGACTTAACATTTGGTATTGAAGATTTACATGAACATAGCAGTGTTTCCCCTTCAATAATAACATGGAATACAATGTTTGGAGTAAATATTTCATTTATTGCCTCTACCGATTAAAGATTTGAAAGTTGAAAGTTGAAAGTTACTTATATTTATAAAGCAATAAACATAATTTTTAATACTCATTTATTGCTTAGCTTGAGGGGTCACTACATTTTCAATTTCTTGTCAACATAGTGTAATGGGAAAGGCTAATCAGTCTTTTTTGATGTAAAATCCATGGATCAAAAGGCAGCTACATAGATTTTGTGTTGGCAGAGCAAAAGTAGGCCCCCTCAAACCCCTGCAGTCATTTGGAACCTGGGACTGTCATTTCCTATTTTCTGACAAACTGGAGCAGCTCTCAGTGGGACGGAAAGTCATTTGACCCTTTCTTAATCCTCAGACAGTCTCGACACAGCATCACAATCTGAGGCAGTCTAGATCACTGGTGTCTTCAAGAAATAGAGAGCTTTTTATTATGTTATTTGTACTTTTTTAATTGTATATATATTTTTTTTAAATTATAGGAGCAGCGTCTACGTTATCTGAAGCAGCAGGAGCGGCGGCAGCAGCAGACTGTTTCAGAGAGCGAGAAGCTGCAGAGACTAAAGGAGCGAGTGGAGAGTCAAGAGGCCAAGCTCAAGAAGATCAGAGCCATGAGGGGTCAAGTTGACTACAGCAAGGTCATCAACGGAAACCTGTGTATGTATTAGCACAAATGTAGCCTTGGGATAGCATGGCCTTACCGGGATTTCTGAATGTCATTTAGGGCGTTAAAGGTAGCATTATGTATCATTTGATCTGGCAACCAAAAGCAAGGTGCTCATTTGGCTTTCTGTGAACCAAAACAAAAAGTGTGTTTACAGTCGCAGTTTTCACCTACCCCCTAGCCCCGCCCACTTCTCTGAACTTACTTGCAGTTATTCAAAAGATTCAGACTCTGGGTCAGACTTATAGGGTTCATAAATGTCACATGGCCAAGTAATTAAAAGCCAATGCTTGTTACGATGAAATTACCCTATGAACAAGCAGGGTTCATAGTGGAATTTCAGCAGCAAGTCAGTGGACTTGTTCATATTAAGTTGTGTTAGACCAAAGTAAAATAATAATCTACAAATGTTATAGTTTATAGTTTCATACCTGAATTACCTCATACATGATAAATACAACATATGCTATACAATTATAGTCTTGCTCCTAAGTACTGAAGCTAACCTGCTGACTGTTTTGCAGCGGCAGAGATCGAGCAGGTGACCAGTCTGTTCCAGGAGAAGCAGTCGGAGCTGCAGGCTGCTGTGCTGAGAGTGGAGCAGCTGAGCCTGCAGCTGGAGGACCTGCGCAGGGGGAAGCTCAATGGAGTCCAGAGCACTTTAGGGGGGCAAGTGACCGGGACCGCTGCACTAGAGCTCAAGAAACTCTACCAGGAGCTTCAGGTAATGAAAAGCTCATGGTCAAGTAATTTTGCTTCCCAGTTGGACATGTGCAGCAGATATAAAACTGTAATCGTAATAGATGGAGCTTAATTGTGCTGTAGCAGAGTAGACTCATTAACCATAAACCATCAAAATATCTGCACTAATAGAAAATCCATATTAAACTATGGACTATTAAGAGTGTTATGATCCTATTCATAAAACCTAATGCTTAATTAATAATAATGCTGCCTTTTTCTGTTTAGATTCGCAACAAATTGAACCAAGAGCAAAACAGTAAGCTCCAGCAGCAGAAGGAGCTGCTCAACAAACGCAACATGGAGGTGACTCTGATGGACAAACGCATCAGTGAACTACGGGAGCGCCTCTACAAGAAAAAAGCTGAGGCACGTCAAAAAGAGAACCTCCCTGTAAGACTAGACGTGCAGAACACATACAAGTGAAGACAATATTAGTCAATGGGCCTGACAGTAGCTTCATATACATATGAAATAGGTTTACTGCATAATTTCTCTAATAAAACTCCTCATTTTACAGCTCAACAGAGCCAATGGGCCTCCTTCTCCTCAGCCCACCCCTGGGACACTTGGGAGGGTGGCTGCTGTTGGGCCCTACATTCAGGTCCCTTCACCTGGTCGCCAGGAGGGCTATACACTCCCACCCGAACCACTGAAGCCTCAGAGTCTGGGTGTCAACAACCAAACCAACCAGGGACGCCCAAAGTCAGGTTAGTTATATAATACATGTATATTAGAGTGTAGCATGACAGCAAATCTAGTGTTTCTGTTTGCTTACAGGGCGTTTTAAATATTATGTAGAGCTTACACAAATGCTTTCTGTATCCTGCATGTTACACTTTTCCTTGCTGCCTTGTCAGTTTTCCACCTGACGAGTTTTTCTGTAGCTCCTGTTCCTCTAACTCTGATCTTTGTCTGTGTATGTCATGTATACTGTTGTCCCTCCCTTCTCTTATGTCACTGCTGTCTTGTCTTTGTTATGTCTGTTTGCTCGGGTGGGTGGGGCGACGCTTGTCGGGCAGATGGCGTACGAAAGCCCCCCGGCCCATGGAAGGTGTCTGATTTAGATATCGTAGTGGACCCGGTGCCCCCCGAAACGCAGCAGCCAGGTCCTGTAGCCTCGTCTGGGTCTGACGGCTCGTCCCGTGAGTGCTCAGTGCTGCATAAGCACAAGGAAGGCACCTGCTGAACCTTCTCTGTAGACTCTTGGAATCCTCAGCAGCTAAACCCTTTATTCTTGGCTTTCTCAATTTCTTTACTGTGACTTTTCACTACATAAATGAAAATAATGCCATTGTTTTTTCTTATTCACTGATAAACTGGACAATCATTCCTGATGGCCTATTATTATAAGGTTCCCTCTGGAGTCTAAACTAGATCCAGCACCCATAGACATGTGCTGCCCCCTACAGTCTAAACTTTGATGGTAAATTAAAGGTTGTATGGAGGATTTTTTTTGGTTTCAAATTGTCAATGATAGCATTATAGAGATGCAGTAGCCTTGTAATTATGATGACCAAAAAAAAGAGAATAAAAATTCATCAACTCTGGACGTGGTGGGGCCAGCTAAACATTTGCCAATAGATAACGACACTGCCTCGTTATCTGTTAGCTGACAGGCTGTCAATCAATCTCCCTATGTTTCTAGCGTAACTGACTTGCCTGCGCGCCGCCGGTACGTGGCTTACGTACGCCTGTCACGCAGTCCACAGACGCAAGCCGCACAGACGCTGTTTACTCCATCAACGCAACAGTTCTTAGCGGCTTTTTTTGACCTATATCTTCCTCGCAGTTAGCACAAAGTTTGTTGCAATGGCAGACAAGAATCTAGGAGCAGTTAGCCGCAAAAGAAAGTCCGTTTTTGAGATTGCTGAAAGAAGAAGACAAGGGGAAAAGCAGCGAAGCCAAACTAAGGTGATTCTTGAAGATTCATTCCAGCGATGGCGCAACTGAAGCAGACGCAGGGTCTAAAGACTGACGCACTGGTCGCCAAATTACTCCTGGACAGGTCACTTCTGCTTATTATGAAAACGTACTTTATTTCCAAGAGCTAGTCAAACATTTTTCAGGACACGAAAGCGATATCCTATGTCTGAAAACGTAATTTTCAGTGCAAAGAAAGAGTCCGCTTGCTGCTGCGTGTTGTAGCTAGTTCATTCGCACTGAATCTCCACGCAACCTTCTCTGCACCCCTTTCCTGCTCCTCTCCCCGCTGCCCGATCCGCTCTTCCCCTGCTCCTCACTTCTCCGGGCACGGAATCTCCGTGCACCGCTCCCCTCTCCTCTCTCCTCTCCCTGCTCCCTGCTCCGCTCTTCTCCCTGCTCCTCACTTCTCGTCCGCGCACGAAATGTCCGCACACCCCCTCCCCCCGCTCCTCACTTCTCCGCCTTGCCTAACCAACACTGTAGTTAGTTGTTTACAAGTCATGTGCAGCGCACTGGCTGTAAACAAACCTGTTTCTGGCGTAAGGAGGAGGCGTTTCTACGTAGGGAGCTGTAGGGGAGGGGGGGTGGTTTCACGCATGCGCAACATTTGAAAAAGGACAAACAGTCGCTGGATTTCTCGTTCCTTGGAAAATCCTCTATACATCCTTTAAAGTGCTGCTGATCATTTCCGCACGCATTTGTGCCCTTCTTTCTGAGAGGGTTCACTCTGTCGAGTGCCACGAAAATGTCCTTTAACTATAGTCCTGACTCACATGTTTGGACTTTGTTGTGATGCTGTATTTTACAAATAATTTAATTTTTAACCTCACCTCTCATTCACACCCTAACTAACATTTAACATAATAACACTTTGTTATTGTGTCATTGGTTTCTTATAACTTAATGTTGTTTTTTGTTTTTGTTGCTTTCTTTCCTTTTACCCTGTAAAAAGACAATTTTATAATTGAGAAAACATACACTTCTGCAACTACAAAATTTGAATATTTTGCTGTAGGTCTCAAGATAATTCCATCCTATTGATCCTAAAGCAGCAGTCTATTATTTATGGCTCTGGGGTGAGACCATTGGTGATGGGATTTTTCCTGGTAAAATTGGGTTCTTTATGATGTAATAGGATGTGATACGTTCAAAACCTTCCTTTGATTACCATTTTAGATCAAACAGGTACTACATTAAAGAAACTACTGAAATATATATTATATTGTTGTAATTGCAACAAAGCCTGTTTGACCTATCTTTGGTAGACTTTGTGATGTTGGTGTATTGTCACACTGGTCCTTCTCATACCATTAAAAGAACTGCTTCATGATTTGTAGTTAATTTTTCCTTTCATTCTCATTAGCAAATGATGCTGGTTGGCCGACTATAGGCAAGTCGAGCACTTTGAAACCACCAGATAGAAGAGACTCAGGAAGTGACACTCAGGGCAAGAGCTCCCCCTCAGGCTCCCCTGTGGCTCCAGCTACAGATAAGGTCAGTATAGGTCCTCATCTCTTATTCTTTAATTCATTTCTCATATTTAGATTGTGATGTAGATGATAACGCTAACATACTTTTAACTTCATTCTTGTGTTGTCTGTCTCACAGACACTCTCAGTGTCCTCTCCAGGCGTCCCAAAGCCACAGCCCCCTCCTTATGGCTCCCACCTCAGCTCTGCAAACGCCGCCAACTCTTTAGACAGACGAAAGGATGTCCCGCCTCCTCTTTCTCGTCCTTTACCCAACCCCCCTCCTCCAGCTTGGCCTCGTGTGCCCCCAACCACAGGCTCGTCCTCTCAGCAGATACAACAGCGTATCTCAGTGCCCCCCAGTCCCACCTTCCAGCCCAATGCACCCATGTTCCCCCCCAGTCTGAGTGAGCGCCTTGACCCCCCTCCCGCTGTGGCAGTGCGTCCCTTCATCGCAGACAGGGGTTCACGGCCCCAGTCTCCCCGAAAAGGCCCCGCTACCATGAACTCAAGCTCCATCTATCACATGTATCTCCAGCAGGCAGCACACAAGGGCCAGCCACCCAAGCCCGCTCTCAAAGCAGGTACAATTTAAAACACATGTGCTCTATTGTGTTAGCTACTGTTTATTTTTTCTGATTTAGAAAGGGTAAATACTAAATTCTGCTTGTGTCCCCAGTGTATGGAAAGCCGGTTCTACCATCCAGCTCAACTCCCCCCTCACCCCTTCCCTTTGTCCAGGCTGGTACATTTGTATTGCCTGGGGGTGAGGAGACTTTGGAGGGAGAGTTTGATGAATTGGACGGTTTGCAGCACCTGGAGCCCTCAGCCCCTCCTCCAAGTGTGGAGAACATCCCAAGACCCCTCAGTCCAACTAAGCTCACACCAATGGTACACTCACCACTCCGCTACCAAAGCGATGCAGACTTGGAGGTACTGCGTAAAAAACTGGCCAACGCTCCAAGACCGCTGAAGAAGAGGAGCTCCATCACAGAGCCAGAGGGCCCCAGTGGTCCAAATATCCAGAAGCTGCTGTACCAGAGGTTTAACACTCTGGCCGGGGGGATAGAGGGCAGTGGAGTCAGTGCGACCCCAGGTGGAAACGGTGCAGGTAATGGAACCCCCTTTTATCAGCCGAACCCTCCGGCTTATCTGGAAGGAGAGGCTGGTGCTGACACAGACAATGGCAACCTCCCCTCAGAGACCCAGCTCCCGCCTCCACCAGGACCAGAGGAGGCGGGAGCTGACCCAGGTACATCCACTGACGATAATGACAATGAGCCATTGCCCCCTCCGCCTGAAGGACTGGGTGACCCCGACGAGGCTGAAGGAGCTGATGAGGACAATAACAACATGGACAGCTCTGAGGCACTGCTGCCTAGCCCTGTGCCAGAAGTGAGCACTCCAGAGGAGAGTGGAGAGGCATCCTCACAGACACTGGTCAGACAGCTACACTGGTACACATATGCTAAACTGTTAACATACTATATAATGTGTTAAATATATGTATTTTTTGTTCTGCAGGAAAAGCGAACCAACTTAAAAAAGCCAAACTCTGAGCGTACTGGACATGGATTCAGGGTTAAGTTTAACCCGCTGGCTCTCCTGCTTGATGCTTCGCTGGAGGGAGAGTTTGACCTGGTTCAGAGGATCATTTATGAGGTACAGTATGTTGTTGTGTACATGACTCATTAATTATAGTACTCCACCTTATAGTGTGGCCAATGCCAGCGTACATTCCTGAGCCACTTGGTACAATTCAAGAGGAGGTGACAAATAAAGGGACACACATTGCGCCTCTGTGATAATCATGTCACTATTCAAATGAGCCTTTGGATGTAACATGCACGTAACATTGTTCACATCTTTGTCACAGTGTTGTGACTTTGAAAAGATATATTTATGTTTCTCATTTTGTAAATATAATTATATTTATGTTTTAGGTGGAGAATCCAAGCACTCCAAATGATGAGGGCATCACTCCTCTGCACAATGCTGTGTGTGCAGGACATCATCACATAGTGAAATTTTTGTTGGATTTTGGTGTCAATGTCAACGCTGCTGACAGTGATGGATGGTAAGCCCCGTTACAGCAAGTATAAACAACTGACCTAAGGATTGTATCGTATCAACACCATACTCTCCTCTGTGTTTTTACTAGGACTCCACTTCATTGTGCTGCTTCCTGCAACAGCGTTCATCTCTGCAAGTTGTTGGTTGAATCAGGCGCGGCCATATTTGCCAGCACCATCAGTGATGTCGAAACAGCTGCAGACAAATGCGAAGAAATGGAGGAGGGCTACATTCAGTGCTCACAGTTTCTTTACGGTTAGTAGCACTGAGTTACTTTTGTACAATAAAACTCAACAGCTTGTGTATCAATGTACTTCAATAAATGACTCTTGGTAACTGTGCAGGTGTCCAAGAGAAGATGGGTGTGATGAACAAAGGCACTGTGTATGCCCTGTGGGATTATGAGGCTCAGAACCAGGATGAACTCTCATTTAAAGAGGGAGACCCCATCACCATCCTGAGGCGGCAGGATGACAGCGAAACTGACTGGTGGTGGGCCAGGCTCGAGGACAACGAGGGCTATGTGCCCCGCAACCTCCTGGGGGTAATGACACAAACCTATTCAGATTATTCACACTGCAAAGGCATGGAGCATACTTGACCAACTAGTTTTGTACATTTATTGAGTCTACTGGTAATTGAATTTAGTTTAAGGAAAATGTTCTCTATCGATTATCTCTAGTTAAACCCAGCTTGGATTTAGTCTTGAAATAGTAGACTTTTAAAATTTGACTCTGGGGGAAACACTGAGCACAGCGTTAAAAAAAATGCAATTATAAAAAAAAGTTTTTCTTTTTTCAGCTTTATCCTCGGATTAAACCTCGGCAGCGCTCCCTGGCATAGCACTTCTCTGCGCTGATCTCTGGCAAACAGCTAAATCTTCAATCTACGAGCAGAGAACAAAAGAGCCTGGTGCTCTGTCCCAGCAGCCATCACCTCCCTCTCTCTCTCCTGTCTCTGGGCACCTCAGACGCACACCTCGACTCTCACTGATGCACAGAAGATCAAACTATCACTCCTCCATATTCTCCAAGTCTTTTGTCCTTGTTTTGGGTCCATTATGGTTTATTATCCTTTAATGTTATTCTAATACTGTACTGGCGTCAAGAGCAAACATGTCATTGCCTAATAGATTTAAAGCCTAGTTACAGTTATTCAAGCACAGGGGGGTTCTGATATGACCAGTGCAATTTATTACATTTGAAAATAAAACGTCATAACTCACCAAAGATTAACTATATAGTGTCATTCTAATCAGTATTAATCATAACTGCTGGTCAGAGTAATTTTACTTCTTAACTGCGGATTAGTCTGCAAATACGGTTTCTAAATTTATTTGATTTTAACATTTCATTAATATCAGAGAAATCTATGCTTAACATTACTAGAATGTGCTGAAAGGGTGTCTATAAAATAACAATACTAAACTTTTGTCATCAGTGTTTAACTACTGCTTTGTACAGTTGTTTTTAGTTTGATTTCCTTTATGTTAAACTTTTATTTCTTGCGTCCTAAAATAGCAAGGTTAGGTGGGCCTCTGTTTTGGGAGATCTGATCACCCTTAAATGGGCAAAAGAAATCTTAAAAAATGTGTTACCAAAAATAAGATATATTAAATTCTGTGTATATTTAATGAATTAGCCTGTTCTTAAAGTGTCTTAAGGTTAGTTAGTATTGGACCTATTGAAAAAAGAAAGAAAGATGGTTTTGTTTGCAGTTTATAAAGCTACTATGACAGAAAAATAATTTATATTAAAGGTTGACTTCCTGATCGGGAAACACGAAAGCAACATCTCCACATGAATTTCAATGTCGTAATTACCAACTATCGCTTCACTATTGAATGACCTTTGTTTAACCCCTTGGTGTTTCATTCCAGTTCTCCATTCACAAAGTTGACATACAATATATTTTACTTGGTTTTGGCAGTTCCTACTTGAAACACTCTCAGGACCAACATGGTGCTGCCGACACTGTTCCACCACAAAACTAGTGATCACTCATATTTATATCTCTACTTCAAACAGAAACCGCTCTCACAAACTAGAGTGCACAGTCTGATTGTAACATTTGCGTTTGCTATTGACAGAAAGGGTAGGGCTTGCTGCAGACAATCTTGGACATGTCCTGTAATTATTTTAGTTATCTGTCTGCCCCCTCGTTCAGGTTAACACTACTTCTGTAACACTAAACACATTCATAATTTATCATAATAATTCTGAACCTTTGAGTCCAAGTCAACTTGTGTGTAAACCTTGAGTGAATGAGTACTATACCGAGCGGCCTAAGCTTTGTCGCAGCGTGAACCTGTACATAGTGTGAGGGATGTGTTACGTCTGTTTGCCGTATGGATAACTGGGCTTCTGTAAAAAGTACTGTACTCACAACATTCTGTAAATGGTGAACAATAAAACAAGCTCTGGCATGAATCTGTTTCCCCCTTTTTATGCCATATTATTTTCCTTGGATTTTAACACTTATGTCAATTTTTTTGATAATTATAATGTTTTAATTGGAGTGAGAAAGAAGAGAAATTAGAGATGGTCTGGTACAGATGGATATTTGTCTTACTGTTTTGATAAGTGATGTCAATATCAATATTTTAAAATTTTAAGTAAAGCTGTTTTAAAGTTGATTTTACTTTCCACCACAAGGGGGCGCCAAATGACCTGGGAACACGGTGTGAGCACTGGTCAGTGATCTCAACCTCTATACAATCCTTTCATTCGTCTATACTTTTTATACTACCTTTTAAATTACACTTGGTATCATTATTTTGTTCAAGTGTGGCATGCTAACATAAGTTAAGCATTAGAATTGTTGGTAAATTGCCTACAAACATATGCAAATACTTAAACACGTATGTTTAGGCAAAGGTCTTCTACTGATATTATAATATTATATTATTCATGATGATTCACTCAAACCTTACTTGTGTTATTTCTTTTAATACTACAACGCCCATAATTCCTCGGAATGGGACAGGACTGCACATGCGCACTGACTGCATTTGTGAGCCGATGACATCACGGCCACCCCGGGCCAACCAGTCGGTTTAATCATCTTCCAGCGTCTACGGGCTGTGTTTTTCCTTTGCTTTACCTTCCTCCAATGAGTTTGTGGTTTCAAGAAGGCACAAATAATATGTCCGACGTACTGAGGTAAGAAGCTCATCTTTGGACTTAAACTTTTCTCCTGATGTTTAAACAAAGCCGCGCGCTGGGGATCGCCTCACCGGGTCCGGCTCTTGTTTGATGAGGTGGAGCTGACCTCGGTGCCCGGTGTGTGCTCAGCTCTGCAGCCGTCACGGTTGTTGTGGATGTGGCTCTTTTTACTGTGCGTTTTCCCGTCACTTTTCATTTATTTCGTTGGTCGTGCTGCTCCTCCGCTGTTTACTCTCGCTCAGGGCGCAGACTGGAGTCGGGTGACATTTGCATGTATTTTGCAAACTGTTTGATCAGCCTTCAAGTGCTGTCTCTGTGCTGACCTCTTCACTCGTGACTCCCATTTGTTAAAGTCAATTGAAGTCACACCCGTGTTTTAGAAATACACAATTTCTTTTAGTAGCAATGTGACTGACTGTAATCATGGAAAGCATCAAACAGATGACCGCCTGTGTGACTCCTGTCTCCCAGTGTCCATCAGTGAAAAATATTTAAGCTTGATCTAAAATGAAGTTACCTGATCACTATTCCTAGCACGCCTATTAGCTTGTCACCACCATAATTATAAATAATATGCCGTCATTGTGGTGTTATTGTTATTTTCTATTGAATAATGTTGGCATAGGCTATCAGATAATTGCAAGGCCACTGATTTTAAATGAGTGATTGTTTTCATTATTTCCTTGTCTTGTAATTGCACAGATTGTAGCCCAACTTCTTCATAGACTTCTCTTTATCACTTTTGTTGAAAGGAGGTCATACTCAGCCATGAAGCACCTCCGCTGTTACATTATACTTTATAAAGGTGCCGTGCCTGCAGGCTTTGAGACATGCAATCGCCTACCTGTTGTCACTCAGTAATCAAGTGTGTTACTGTACTGTTCCCCAGAAGTGGAATGACTCACTTTAGAAAAACATGATGTAATAGTTGAGGTCAGAGGGCATTATACACAGAGATTACTGCACTACTTTCCTGTTGATGCTGTGGTTCTCAGAGTCTTATCAGAAAAGGACTTGCATTCCGGAGAATTAAAATGCTCTAAATCACTGAGGGGCCTGTAGGTGCATGTAGTGGGCTGCTGCTATGGCTCTTTGTGTGTGTGGCTTTCTCGGTCTGCAAAACATATGCCCCTCATTCAGCTCTGCAGCCATCTCATACTGACCTGTGAAAAACCGTTACAAGTGTGTCCAGTTATTCAAATACAGCCCACATGCTCAAAAGTCTTAAATAGCAAGCAAGCATAGTAACAAATAATCATGCATCAAAATGCAGGGATATTAGGAATAACAAAAGGATTTCTAGCGTGGAGACTGCATATGAAAGATGTAATTCAGGTAATAATGCTCTTTACGGCTTAGACACTAAGACAAACTTTATTGATCCACAGGAGAAAATATTTATTTGAGGGAGTAACTTTGATCTAGGAATGCTCCTATAGGGACCATACCATTTTGAGGAATTGAGTACAATATCATTCTCGTACAAAAATGTGTATTGTAATATTTAGTTCTTTAAGTCTTTTACAATAAATTATCTCTTAAAGGTGCACTATGTCACTTTTTGGTTGGAGGTCTGTTACCTGCTTGTTTCTATGGATATGTCAGTGCACTGGTTGGAATGTTTTTGTCTAACTACAGGTGGTAATGTAGCTTAAAAATACCTAGAAAAACTGGCATTCTGACTGTGAGTGGGGTCGCCTCTCCACAGATTTGAACTGCAACTTGGTCTGGTTTGGTCTACTTGTAGATAGAAAGGTTTAATGCCATACTGTGAAACATTTCAGACAAAGCAATAACATCTCCATGAAGAAAAGTATTTGATGGACCCTCCACCAGAAAAGTTACACAATGCACCTTTGATGTAACTACCCCAATGTCAGTGTTTGTGGTTAATATTTGTCTGAAGTAGATAATGAGATTGTTGTGTGTTGAGGCTACAGGCTCGGCAGACCCTTGGCCAGGCCCTTGGCCAGGCCCTTGGCAGGCCCTGTGGCAGGTGTGCGATGCATTGTCCCTGTCAGTAAAGTGATCTGCTGCTTGTTTCATCAACACAGAGCAGCCCTCGGCGACACTGCTGCTGTTGTGCTGTTGGCTCCAGTTGTTTGTTGATGGTTCATGTCATCCCTCTGTGATTACAGGACTGAACTCACCGGACGCAAAACCACTCCTCACCACTCACAACATTTGACACCGTGTTTCCATTGAGTACACTGTACATGAGTATTTCCTTATGGTTCTTCTTTGAAGTTAATTCAGTACAACCACTGGCACTTTGGGAAATTGTGAAGTTTATGACAGAAATATATAATTTGGATTATATTTTGATTATCAGTAGAGTAGGTTTATTATAGGTTGTTTCTTCAACAAACACATCCTTTACAATCGTTACAAAACAGCTAACTCTTTTGTTTTATCATAATGATGGCTGTTCATTTTGTCTGTTACAGCTGGTGCCCAGACCAGTGCTCCTTGTGCCCTGATAGATGACTGATAAGGCATTCACTGTTTATAGCCTGTTTATAACAAACACAGTTTCACTTTGTAGTCCATACACACATAGACGTGTACGCACACACACATACACACACACCGAGCTGAGTGTAGTGTCCATGGGCACAGGCCCCACAGACCTGAGGGGAGCCTGACTGACCTCGTGTACAGTTTCAGAGCGGCCTCCTGCACTGGCTCACATTAGGCCTCATGTTCACACAGTAAGTGTCTACCTAACAACAAAGGCTTTAGTCTAATTATTTTTCACTCACACAAATCTCATTTAAAGACCCTTTACACAGCTGAGCCCCCCATATGTCATCAGGAGCCTTTATGTTGTGTTGGCATTAATGTGCACACACGCACATACACACACACACACACACACACACACACACACACAAGCAGGTGTCTGCTACTGTCTTTAATGACCTCCCACTGCAAACAATTACAAGTGTGTTGTGTGCACATGCAGTCAATCAACCAAACAGCCTACAGATATTTGTGAACAACAAGACTGACATGAATATTTAGTCTTTTTTGGAGATATTATGAAAGTCTAAAGAACTCATTCCCCAGCTTTGTTATGTGGTGCAATCTGTAACATGCAGGGTCCTCCTTATGCCAACTATGCACCTCCAAAGTGTTGACAACAAGTCAGTGTTAGCTCAACAAACCAGGAATGACGGCACAAACAGCACAGATGAACTCTGTGACTCCTTATCATCCCAGTACTGCCACTGTGATCTGTTTGTAAAGTCTATGGTATGACCTGCTTGTGTATGTTAATCTGACATACTTTTATGTTGTCCAGCATATGTCTGTGGCTGTCCTCATCATGTGATACAAACCCTGTTCACTGTGGTCATTGTGTGTGGCCTACAAACTGAACATGTCCCTCATGTTTTGCTCTTCTGAAGTGCAGAGGCTGGTGTGGGATCAGCTCTGGACCTACGGCTCTGTGCTCCGACCCTGTAACAATAGGCCTGTGACTGTTTGAATGTGCCATTCTCTGTGCACTGTGCTTCACTTGGGCCAGACAATGGCTTCATTTAGCATCTCTTCTCTGCTGAAGCTCGCTCCGTCACTATGGCACCCCTCACTGCCACACCCTGCCCCCTGCCTGCCCCCCGCCGCCCTCTGCCTTTGCACTTGTCCTCGGTTTGGGGCAGCTGGGCTCAGACTGCCATTGTTGGACACACCCTGAACAGCCCCACATTTTTAAAATAGTTTAATTCTTTAAAAATTCAACATCATTCGTGTAAATTAAAAATATATACTTAAGCTTAAATAAGGCAACATGTTACATAATTAATTTTGTAGCCATTTAAAAACAATTCCTGAGGCTAAAATTCTGTATGATGTTATGTTTGGTGTGGCTGTGTTGTTCCTCCACAAGGATCACAAGACGGGGCATGTGCAGTGTACTCTCATTATTAATGAGGCCGACGTAAGTTTGGTAAACACTGAACCAAACCAAATAACACCCCGATGCAGACATCCCCTCCCACCACAGACTCTTGACCCCCTTTTGTTCTGAGGTCAGAGGTCACTGCCCCTTTTCCAACTCCAGCACTAAGCTCAGGCACATTTTAAATGAATGTCTGTTAAACTGACAGCTCTAAGGCTGTGGGTGAATAACAGGGATCTATGACATATAATGTAAAGCTTATGAAGAGAAAATGAGCTTCTAGTCCTAATAAAAGCCTCTTTCTGCGTCAGGCTGATGGGCCTCAGAGGAACCAGCAGAACTGGGTGACCCACCACTAGATATTTTAGGATTATTTGAACTTGATGCTATCTGTACTCTGGAGAACACAGGGCTGTGGGCTACTTCATGTAAGGAGCCTGTTCTAGGCTCTTTAAAAGGGCACTATAGTCATAGTCATGCAGAACAACAGAGAGTTTATTTTACATGATGCAACATTTTGGTCCAGTAAATTCAGTCTATATTTTATTTGTAGGCATTCTTATTCTGAAGTTGATTAAAAAACAGACAAATATCTGCTTAGATTAGATATAATCCTGTTTTTTCTGTTTAGGCCAGGGTTCATGGTGTCAGTATATGACACACCTTAAATAGGACTAATGCCTCATTAAAACTAGTGAAGTAGATGTGATTGTACTCTGATGAGCTGCTAAACGAGGGGATGTCTGCAGCACAGCCCGGGCCTGTCCCTGTCTGCGCTGTGTGAGGCTCAGGAGTCTTTTCTCTGTGTGGCCCTCTGCCTTTTTTTGTCTTTCTTTGGTAATGTCCTTCTAAAGAGCATCAGTGCAGGAAATGAGGATTCTATCAGGGTCTGGCTATTTCAAAGTGAAAACAACTTGTGATGTTTTGACTTTAATCTCCCCTCATCAGTGTTTATTTAGGACATCATACAGGTCCAGTGGGGGTTGTACTACATGTAGGACATCAGAGTCCTGATCCTGATCCTTATGGATTATATAGGAGTTTCACTGCTGAATCTTGCATTGTCTTCCAGAGCACACAAAGAGGATTAATCTTA